CTTGGAATTGTCCTAACTTTTCCCCCCTATACGGCGCCCCTGAACGCGGGGCTTCAAAAACTATACTCCACAAACCAATGGGTGACGTCACAATAGGTTCACACTTGGTTCTGACAGATGCTTGCTCAACTGTTGAGCACAGAGCAAAAAGCATCAATTGATACATATATCAATATTTTATTACACCCCTAACAAAGACAGCTATTTTCACACTAAGACTAATTTTAGTGGCCCTTCTTCATACAATCCGATTTTTTTTTACATTTTTGGATTCAAAATGAAGCATAAGAGAAGGAGAGGGTGCTAGCAGGCTGGTGACAGCTTATACAGACTGCTGCTCCAGACATGTCCACGTGATGAACAGGGCTCAGGCCCTAACCTGATTAGGACCAAGCCAAGACCCACTCAATTAATAGGACCAATTGACTTGTGCAGTCCCACACAGCTTCTGGCTTATAGGGAGCAGAGCCACAAATGAACATTGATTGAATTATGCATAAGGTTTACAGTGAGTCTACAGAGGACTCATTCTCTTGTAGCTCCCCAATTTCCTCCAGACTGTAATTTTCAGATATTAACAAATTCAAAATAATGATTTTAATGAGACCCCCTCATGAATCCACTGATTGCAGAATATAAAGAAATAAACATAAATTTACAGCATGCTTAGTCAGTTGGCACATTTTATATTTACAATGTGTGTGTGTGTGTGTGTGTGTGTGTGTGTGTGTGTGTGTGTGTGTGTGTGTGTGTGTGTGTGTGTGTTATTTCTGTCATGCTGTTCTGAGAGGTGTTGGCTATAACATACGTCATGAGAGGGGTCTATAAATAATAACCTTTCACCAAGTGTATGATTCAGAAACTGTGTCTAACTGTAGTGTTATGCAGCCCTTTGTGTCCGCATTAAGGGGTGCGTGTGTGTGTGTGTGTGTGTGTGTGTGTGTGTGTGTGTGTGTGTGTGTGTGTGTGTGAATCTAGGTGTGTTTGCCCTTGTGAACTATCACTTCTCTTACATGATAATGATCAGGTCAAGTCAAAACAAATCCAAGCCTCTTACTGTCTACTGTTTACTTGTAACATTGGTGATCTGCTGATGCATGCGTATAGTAAGTAGCACTAGATGAGAGCATATTCACAGAAATTGCCATATGATACAAATCCCAGTTAAATACTACCACTGTGGAGTCTTACATGGATCTTTTCAGGATGTTGAACTGTGTGTATTCACTCATGTGTAGTTTCAGGTATAGGGCTACACCGATCTGATTCTCTCAATCAGTATCCGCTCAAATTAGCAATTTCTTTCATTATTGATCCGTTTGCAGAATATATTCAGTTTTACAATGATATAAAATAGAATAAAACAGAGAAAACAGCAAATCCTCACATTAAGGAACCTGGAAACAGAAAGTTTGGCATTTGTGCTTGATCAATAAATTAAATAATTAATTGATTATTAAAATAATTGTGATTAATTTTCTGTCCATCGACTACTGATGAATTGAGTTATTGTTATTGTCTAGTGTAGATACAAACCTTAGTAAAGATCCCTCCAAACATGTATTCAGCCATATATACAAATAGTCTGCTTCGAACAATAATGTGTCTGACGCAAAAAAAGTTTAATTTCCACATTAAAACAAAATGGTACTATCCATGGTGGTGTCACATTTGTATGGACAGTGTGCAGACTGGATCTTTGACGGACTTTATTTGTATTTTTATATGACATAATATGATGTGATATACAGATCTGGATACAGATCCATAAACCTGTATATCACTGATCTTTCCAGATACAGGTCATTTTTGTCCAGTGCCTGTCTCTGCTGATTTTGTTCCACTCCTGTAGACAACTAGGGTTAGATGTGCACACTTTCCACTTTCTCTATACTCAGGTGTCGTGTTTGAGCAAGAGAAAGTGCAGAAAGCAGTGCAAGAAAGTGTTGTTAGAGCCCAGTGGACATGAGTCACAGAAGCACACGCGGCTGAGTGTGTATATGTGTCAGTCTCATTTTGATGGTGGCATGTTTTGAAACCAGCCTTTTCTGCTCTGAACTCGGAACTTAAGGGCCACAGACAAGTGCAATGCCAGTGTTGCCAGATTCCACATTGGGACGAGCGAGACACGTGAAACAATGGAGCAGCTGCACAAAGCAGCTAATAGTCTTCAACAAGAGAAAACGAAGTGCTTTCAGGTAGGGTTTTGGCAGAGATGAGTGGCTCTTTTAAAGTAATCATGGTTGCCATTTAATTCACATCACAACAAAAAGCCTTTTCACAGAAGTACACACACGGGTCAGTATTCACCGAGGCACAAAGCTTCCATCACCTCCACGCAGACACGTAACTGGCCTTCTCCTCACTGAGTGTCGGATTTAATGAGGAACTGATGTTGCACCATTTAGAAAACACATAGCTGCATGTTTGTCACCGTTAGACCCATAATGGATTTATATTTAGACATCCAAAATTCCCCCTCCTCCCACCATCATGCTCCCACTCCCGCCTCCCCACCCCCACAACCTCTCATCCCACCCCCCTCCTCCACTGACGAGCAGAAAGGCCACGATGAATTCTTGACATCCATGCGAGTTAATTACAATGACTGCACATGCACTGCTGGAGATGTGTAATTATCAGCACCTCTGCAAACGCGAGGCCTGTGTTTTAGCCAATCAGAAGAAAAATAGCTGGGTTCCGACCACTTCTTTACATAATGAGGGCTAATCTAGAGAACATGAAAAGGAATGGGATTGACATTCCGCTGTCTGACATGCGAGTATTGTGTGTGCTGGACAAGGCAGCAGGGGGGGTGCATGAATGTATGTGTGCACTGTATATGTATGCAAGCGTCTCCTCTGAATAATGCAGGCTACACGGTTAGAGTGATTAAGACCTGAAGCATTTGTAGTAGTGGAGAGATGAGTGTGAGGAGAGAAGCTATTTATTTCTTTTTGTCATCACAGCAGAGAACCTGAGTCCTTACAAAGACACACTAACTACTCACTTTGCCTTTCAAAGTCAGAGCATTTACATGTGCTGCAGAAAAAAGGAGGAAGCACTATTGCCACTGTGTTTTTCCCAGTGTAGTCAGGAGCACTAGAGGAGGGGAGGAGGGGAGGCGGGGGGGATTGGTGTGCCCCCATGTTCGCAAAAATGTTGACAAAGTGCCCTCTTGGGTGCCATTATTATAGATAAAACATTACAAAGTGCCCTCTAGGGAGCCCTTTCAGTGGAGAAAACATCATAAAGTGCCCTTCTATGGGAGAAAACACAACAAGGTGCTGTCTATAGGGTGCTCTTCCAGTAGAAAAAAAACAGCAAAGTACCTTCTAGGGTGTCCTTCCAGTGGAGAAAACATGGTTAAGTGCCTGCTAGGGTGCTAACTCTAATCCTGACTTAGCTGTTTCACCATAAATGCATAGAATTAGGGTTAACTGTCCAGTGCCCTTTTTATTTTTTCACCACTGCCCCTCAAGTTCACCACTAGTTAGGAGAGGAGAGGAGAGGAAAGGAGAGGAGAGGACTTGGGAAAAACCTTGAGTGAGAGATGGGGATCTGCCTTCGCGCAACTAGCTTGCCTGGATGGTCCAATAATCTTTTCTATCATGCTGTCACACGTAACCGGTTTAAAGGCGCACTATGCAAGATTTTTACCTTAATATAACAGCTTCGAAGTCATTTCGATGGTAAACGAACTCGTAGTATAGCGAATCATCTCGATAGCAAAGCGGGAGAGAGACGCCGTTGGCAGAACCAGCAATGCAAGTCTGAAAGGTGGCGTCCCGCCAAATCTCGTGAGAATCACAAATTGCTTTACGGGGCGACGTCACGTACATCAGCGACATAAGAAGCAGCCTCAATGGAAGACACTAGCAGGCATTCACTCAGACGTTACCTGGTCAGTAGACATCTTCGGAGTCTATCTTTGCCTGTTCGATGTCCGACGCTTCCATCCTACTGAACATGTACCGGTACAGGGGGGAGGGGATCAGGCCGTGAGAGACACAGAGCCGTATATAGAGACGGCTCTGGTGAGTGGTATTTACGACAGTTAGCGTTAAATACAAGTACTCTGCAGCGACTCTAGGGGGAGCTGTTTGACAAAACCGAAAAACTGCATAGTATGCCTTTAAGGGGAGACACTGGCTCTGCTCACACGCAGACTCACACAAACTCCCGTTGTCGCCACCCTGAATAATCAACGGGGAAGGAGAGATGAGCGGCCGAACGCGATATAAGCATCTCTCACCCGCCCACCTACCCAGCATGGGCCCAAACACACACGGGCTGCTCATCGCATCTGTTCACAAGACACCCTCACCAAAGAGAAAAATTGCACACATCCTACCTCCATCTCTCCAGCATCATTCCAATTGCTTAAATACCCTGAGTGTTATGATAGAGAGAAGAATAAAACAGGATTTTGTCGGCTCATTGGGGGAAGTGAAGTGCAAACGTGGGCCTTGAACAGTGAACTGGTGAGACTGGTTGACTGAAGGCTGGGGGTGTGTGCAAAATAGACACGATGCTGCACAATGGAACTGAAGACATTCTCAGCACTCACAGAACTCATGGGCTCTGCTGGCCTTAAATTAAAGGGAAAAAATCTCTTAATACATTCAATTGCATCCATTAAACAACATATTGGTTCTCATAACAGTACTGCCATCCCTAGAATAGAAGAGCAGAACTTAACACTAATTATTTCCATTCATGTGAAAGCATGCCCTGACTTCTTGTGCAGACAGGTGCACATTGTGTCCTCTAAGGATGCCACTTTGTTGACAAATTAAGAGACTGGTCCTCCTTTGTTAGGCAGAGTGAAAAGGTGAATGTCCTTTACACTTTTAAAGTGGCATCTTTCCACCAACACTCTCAAATGTACGCAGGGACATATTATGCCTGTAGTATTCCATACTGTGGATTATTTCCTATCATATAGGAAAGAATAAAAGTGTTTCACAGTCATCAGAACGCTCTGGTTTGTTACTCACGGGTGCCATCGAAGCGGGTGGCGATGGTGTCCAGGAAGGTGTTTTGCGGGGCCAGCAGCCCTCTCATCACCGGCATCCTGCTCCGGGTCGACTGGGTCCTCCTGCCTCGGCGCCCCGGGGCAGCGCTAGACTCCTGCTCAGACCCGAAACTTGGCAGGAAGCGAGAGGTGCCCGGTGCGCATCCCAGCCCCTGGAGAAGCGCACCGATCCGAGATACGCGCGGTGGCTCCACCTTGGCACCGTGGGGGTTGTGACCATAATCAACTCAGCAGAGAGCGAGTATTAACCGCGGGATGCACCTGTGCACCTTCCGGCGGGGGGCAAAAAACATTAAAACGTGTGTTCGCAAAAGGAAAAGCGCGCCGGAGAAAGATGAAGATGGATGGGTAGACTGCAAGTTTGTGGTGCTGATGGTGCGTGGAGGGAATCTTATCTCAGCAAGCTCCTCCTCAACTCTCTCTCTCTCTCTCTCTCTCTCGTTGCGTGGTTATCTTGCCACAACTGAGAGCAGATGCAGAGTCACGTGACGCCTTTCAGGTCTTGCCTCTGGTCCTGCTTCAAAGTGGAGATCATGGGAGACAAAGAAGATGACAGAGATGCTGTTGTGCTGTTGTGGAAGCCAGCAGCCTTTCACCCTGATGTGGACCGCTCTGTGTAAAATAAGCGGACCTTTAACTGCTGTTTGCATGAAGCACCGCCGATAAGATAAAACAGAAAATTCCACCGACTGCCTGTTACAGTATCCTCACTTCAGTTCCTAAATGAACATGGAGTTAAGCATTTGAGAATAAATAGATATTGAAATTTTATAGGAGAACCATAAAGTGTAAGAAACGGCGGTGATCTCCTCTGCGCCTCTCCTCAGGACCACATGGCCCCACGCGTTTAGAGCCGTTCAGTCCTCATTGCGCGGTGATAGTGCGCCATCTTCTGGTTACGCAGCGCTGAAAGGTATCAGACTACACCTATCAAAACTGAAACTCTGCAAGATGTTTCCAACAGTAAATCCACCCAGGCACGGGCTTCACTAGCACACATGTTTTGGAAGTACATCAAGAGATTACAGAGCCGCAGCAGATCCAGCAGAGCAGCTCCAGTTCCATTCTGTAAAACATCTTCACCCAGAATGAGGAGACCTGAGGAGGCATTTACAGTTAGAAAAAAATCACTGAGTGGAAAGGTGAACATGTTCTATTTGATATGGCAACCTTTTATAGATCATTTTAATAGGATGGACCCATAACTGGTAATTGGTAACACAGGGCTTCATATGGTGATATCTATGTTTAGTATGTATTTGACTTAAAAAATGCTAAATATATATGCAATGTAATATGTAATTGTGTTAAAGAACATACCAGAATAAACAGAAGTTGAAAAAACCCAGTATGTGGCGTTTATGCCAGTGATGAAGTACAATGGCTCTGTAGATGTTTGACATTTATTTTAATATATATAATATAATTTAAAAGTCCAGTGTGTAACATTTAGGAGGATCCTTTGTCAGAAATGTAATATAATATTCATAGGTATGTTTTCATTAGTGTATAATCACCTGAATGTAAGAATCGTTGTGTTTTTGTTACCTTAGAATGAGCCATTGGAGTCTGCCATGTTGAACTGCCATGTTTCTACAGAACAGACTAATCAAATACTGGCTCTAGATAGGGCTGTTCGCGTTTTAAAAGATAAAGTTGTTTTGTCATTCAGGTTTTGGGCGTGATGGTGGCCCAGTGGTTAGCACCGTCACCTCACAGACTGGGTTCGATACCTGGTTGGGCCAGGGCCTTTGTGTGTGGAGTTTGCATGTCCCCCCTGTGTTTGTTTCCTCTGGGTGCTCTGGGTTCCCACACCATCAAAAGGTGTATGTGGGTTGATTCTCCGGACAGTGCTGTTGACCCAGGCCCTGGTTTAAAACCAGAGGTGGTCCCTGGGTGCTGCACAGTGGCTGCCCACTGCTGCTAATACACAGGATGAGTTACATGCAGAGAACCAATATTCCTATGGGAATAAATGGAGGATTACTTATCTTCACTTTAGGAGACTCCAATAAATAATGAAAAACCCAGAGAAAGTCAAGGTTGGAACAGAGAGAAGTGAACAGTCCTAATGAAGAGCAAGAAAGTGAGCAACAGGAGTCAAACAAGGATGAGAACGATGATGAAGACAATCACACCATGAGTAAAGAGATGAAGAAAAACCTAAATCAGACCTGAAATGAATGAACCCAGAGATGAACAACAACATCAGCAAGAGAGATGAGAGATGCAACTTGATGCACTGGCAATCAGTACTAATGTATCCGTACACGGCACTGTTGGTCCAGAAGATACTGTACAACATCTTTACACAAGTACTTAGCATGTAGCAGTCTGAGAAGTGCAGTCATTTATCTCTAACTAAAGGCTTAGATGTGTTTTCATTCAGATTTCTGTCTTTGGGGGACTCCAAGAATGTCCCAGAAGAACCCAAGCATGAGAACAGAGGTGAAGGAAAAGCCCCTAAGGAAAGATCCAGGGTCAGAACATGAGATGAACGAAAACCTGGCAAACAATGTGGGCAGAGCCACTGAGAGAGAAGACTTCCACAATCATATTCAACATGATCAAACCATGTAAAAAGAACACTTCAAATACAAAGTCAAAACAAGAATGGTGTCTGTATGCTTTCAAGATTTACATTTAGGCATTTTTCCTTTAATGGCTTTGTGTAAATGTAAACTTTTTACTAATGTAAACTTAGATATATATTTAGACTGTTTCTCTGCTATCGATCTTCATCAGTTAACTTCAATAATTTCTTCATCGAAGCCATCAACCTGTCTATTAGACCCGATCCCAACTAGGCTGCTTAAAGAAGTTGTTCCCTTAATTGCCACTTCTTTACTGGATATGATTAATCTTTCTTTATTATCAGGATATGTACCACAGTCCTTTAAAGTAGCTGTAATTAAACCCCTTCTTAAAAAGCCCCCCAAAAAAAAAAAAAATGGTGGTACTGTTGGGTCTCTGTAAATGTTACAAAGAGTTCAGTCTAGACCTGCTCTATTTGAAAAGTGTCCTGAGATAACTTCTGTTATGAATTGGCGCTATACAAATAAAATTGAATTGAATTGAATTGTTGGGAAGTAATTTTGCATGGCTAGGTGAAAATTATATACTCCTCTACGAAAATTGTATTTATTTTAATTGAAGCCAGTAGCTCAGAATTTTCTGCAAGAACTTAATTCAAAAAGAGTTAGATCAGCATTTCTGGGATTACTTTAAGTCAGAGTTGCCCCTGGCCCACTATTAGTCTTTAGACTTTTGTGTATCAGATTAGAATTACTTTGGAACTGAATCAAGGACAAAGTGAAAGAAACCCGGAGTTAAAATAATATAAAGATGCCCTGTGAACACCAGTTGATTCAATCTCTTTTAAACCTGCAAGGTGATCTGGGAATAAAAACATAAGAAAATGTTTGGTTGGTTACTTGCTGTTCTAGGACTAGCTTTTAAAGCTTTCTGCAGCGTGCATTTAAAAACGAAATAAATTGGTAACAGATTGAAAGGTTAAAAAAGATGCTATTATAACATAAATGAACTGTTATCAAAGCTGCAAATTTCAGCACAAAAAACACAGCTACTGAATGCAGTTTGATACGATATTATATAGAAGTAATATACACACAGTGCTTTATAGCTGCAAAAGATAACAGCAATGGCTTTGATCAGTAAGGTGTTAGATCCTGTGCTAATTGCATTTTCTCATTTTCTTAAACATAATAGGGGGATTAATCATGTAAATTCATTCTGTTTTTCAGTAGATTCATTCTGGCCAAAGCTTTTATAAATGAAATGCTGTTTATCGCCAAATGCAAGCAAATAGATTTTTAGCTTGTGCAGAGTTTTGCAAAAGCTGATTCATGTTGAGGTTGCACTTTGCCTCCTGCTTTGCCATTTTTGTGGATTGTGTTGGTACTTATTAAACAGGGACCACGCTATGCCTAATCACTCTAGTGACACTATAACCCCTCTGTGTCAGAGCCCACGCTGCAACTTACTTATGTATATATGAACAAGACGTTAGCATTATATTCAATCTAGTAATGCTGCTATTCTTTGATGACTCCAGAAATCATAGTTAGACCAATAATTCACTTTCCAAGAGAGTTTGTGTTACATTTATGTCCTCATGTCTTTATTATCTTGAGCAGCCACAGTGGATCAATCCTCAATCTGCCCTGTCTGAATATTAAAACATGACACACTTGAAGAGTGCGTTTTACTCCATTCTTCACCTCTGCCTGTGAAGACGAGGTAAGGCTGATGCAGGTTCATGTTGCAGTTTTGCAGGTCAAGGTTCCGTTTATTTTCAGTGTTGGGAAGTAGTGCACTACATGTAATTAAACTAGTAGTTTAAATACCTTTTGCAGTAGTTTAATACTACATTCACATTTGCACAGTGATTCGAGTAGCTGATTTGAACAAATTTGAACAAAGTTTTAAGAGTTGTTCTAGTTCAGTTGTTGTAATCAGATAATACAAACTGAAATAAAGCATTCCTTGCAATTTTGAAAAGCCCACATGGGATTGTTTTGTTAAGGATAGATTTAGCTGTCAGGGAATTCCAGGAAGCTGGACGTTCAGCTCACCGAAATATTTGGTTAGAATTGTAATTTTTTTAAAAAATAAAATGTGTAATTTCTATTTCCTGGCAAGTGACTCTTGAATTATATTTTGTATCACACGTAGTCGGTTTGATCATTTATTTACAAAATAGTGTGAACTACTAATTATGTTCAGTTAACTAGACTAGGGTAGCTTTGCTGTAGTTCAATTTCCAAATTTATAAGGAGTTCGGTCTAGACCTGCTCTATTTGAAAACTGTCCTGAGATAACTTCTATTATGAATTGGCGCTATACAAATAAAATTGAATTGAATTTAATTGAATTGAATTCATCATTTATAGTTCGGGACTGTTTGTTGGACACAGCAAGCATTGTGAAGGTATACATTTTACTTTTACGTAAGTAACATGTTCCATTCTGGACTTTTACTTGCAACATAATATTTTTAGTACTTTTACTTAAAGCTCTGACTACTTGCCCCATCACTGGAGAGAGGTACAGTTATTGAGGCAGAAAATGCAATACGAAATTTCATGGAGCTATTTCACAGCAGACATTTTGACTTAGGACAGCAGAGGAAGCAGAGGTGGGCCTGACAACATTAATGATCCTCCAGCAGTGCTGTTCAGTAGTTACTGGCATTGGTTACAGCTGTGAAAAGTTTCTCCTGCAACAAGGTCTATTCAGCATTATTTTCACTCCACATTTTACCTGAACAGAACATGAGATAAAACTTACATCCCCCAAATTGATCACTTATATGCAAATGAATGACTCAAAAACAATGGGTGTGAAAGACAGTCATTGATGCAATTACATCACATCACACTACAAAACAAAACACACATTTCCTCTTCCACCTTTCCTCTGAATCCAGCTCCAACCTCTACATCAGATCAGTCCCCACTGCTACTGTACGTCCTCTCCGTCATGGTTCAGAAGGTGGCGGTGATCGGTGCAGGGATCTCTGGCCTGAGCAGCATCAAGAACTGTTTGGATGAAGGTCTGGAGCCCACCTGCTTTGAGAGCAGCCATGACATCGGGGGTCTATGGAGATTTAAGGTGAGGGCCAGTACAACAGTACATCACTTCACCACTGCAGTCACATTTGATTCTAAGAGCATGTTTAGGATGTTTAAGCCTGTAGGAACCATTTAATGTTCTGCTTAACTGTTTGGTAGAGCACATTTTGATTTACTGTATCTCATTGGAAAATGGGTTTAACTTAACCTGATGAGCCATCTCTACCACTTGGTTTAGGTCTGTAATGCAAAAAAATCCACTAGATGGTGTGTCTTTAAGCAGTAGAGCCTTTATCAGTTCACCTTCTTATAGGAAGTCAACAAAATAGTCAGTCCAAGCTATTTTTGACATATTGACATATTAAAGGTTCAAAGGTCTTACTGGACAGAATGAATGACTTGAAAGTCTCATAAGGGTCAAATAATTTTCTAAAAACGTTTTCTACCAAACTGGTTGTTAGCTAACTAATGTAATTAAAAATGTTTACTAGGAAATAAAAAAAACTTTTGTTGTTAACATCATATATTTGATGTAATTCCATTATGATTTTTTAAATATCAGTATGATTTTTAAAGCTGCAGTGGGTAACCTTGTCAAACTAACTTTTGTCATATTCACTGAAACTTTCATTATATCCTGACAGCAGTACGTGAGACAGATAATCTGTAAAAAAAAAAAAAAGAAAATCTGGTTCCTCTGACTCCTCCTAGTGCTACTAATGGAATTTGCAAGAATGCATCGGGTCTGAATGAAAACAACCAATCAGAGCTGAGAAAGATAGTTGATTGTTGAGTCTCATTCAAAGGTCGTCAAATACAGGTTCTTTGGTAGACTCAACAATAAACTATTGTCAAACCAACCCCAAGCGTCTGTATTTAATGACCTCGGAATAAGCTATCTTTCTATGCCACATCATTCATCAATAACAACATGTTTTTAAGGATAGGCTTCCATACACGACACATAGCTTCACACAGGAAATCAAGCAAAAACGTATTCTTAACATTTTTTGGTACTGCAGTAATATCCTTACTTTTGACAGTTACCCGTGATACAGATTAAGGTTCTGTTCCATTTAGTGTAGCAGAGCCTTTCCAGGGAGCCAACATGCACAATAGCAGCAACGTGACTCTGTTTGAGCTGAATGGGACCAAACCTTGATTAGTGTCATTGGTAACTCCTGAGTTTACCCTACTATTTCATGGCTGTGAAAAAGGTATATTGCACACAAATTAGCAAGGTGAAATAACAAAAGTCTTCACATTATCCTTCTGTAGGAGAAAGCTGAGCCTGGACGCACCAACATCTATCAGTCAGTGGTCATCAACAGCTCCAAAGAAATGATGGCCTTTAGTGACTTCCCTCCACCAGCTGAGCTCCCCAACAACATGCACCACTCTGAGGTGCTGCAGTATATGCGACTCTACACTCAGGCCTTCAAACTGCTGCAACACATACAGTTCCAGGTTAGTGGCCTTTAGGATGGTTTGCTTTGGCGTTAACAAGCTCAGCTACTGTTTCTATATGGAGTAAAGCTCATAGGCCTGTCCAACAGCTTGGTAACCACAATTAACCCTTTGACTCATGAAGACTGTAACAATGGAACTCTCAACCTGCATGGAAAATATAACAATAGATTCTGCTTATGGTAAATAAATTGGTGAATTATGAGTCCTACACCTTTTTACCTTTTTAAGATCAAGATCAAGATCAAGATTCAATACTTTTTTGCCATACAACTTGGTGCAAGTTGCTAGGGATTTGCTTCAGTGTGCTCAGGACATCAACAAAGTCAGAAAAAAAAGGACACAGATCATGTAAATACAACTGAATGTTTTAGTTGTTGTTTTAAAGGTTTGTTTCCATTGGTGACAGAGCATTGAAGTATTGTATATCAAATTATTATGTTACTATAATATCTTATATTTTAGATCATTTTCTATTATCCTTAAACACAAATATGTTATAGTTTGTTATAAACCATTTATTGAATGTTTGTATCCTTCTTATAAGTGCTAATAGGATGACAGGAGTAAAGTGTTACCGTTAAAACTGATAAATGCCAATTTCAATGGAGGATATTCAACACTGTTTGTATATGTGTATGTGTGTGTGTGTGTGTGTGTGTGTGTGTGTGTGTGTGTGTGTGTCAGACCACCGTGGTCAGTATGAGGCAGACCCTGGATTTTGCTTCGACAGGACAGTGGGAGGTGGAGACAGAGAGGAGAGAGGGTCAGAGGGAGATCCATATCTTTGATGCAGTGATAGTTTGTACTGGACACTTCACCCAGCCCCACCTGCCACTCAGAGATTTCCCAGGTACCATGACATTTTCATTATTTTTCACTGGGTTCACAATAAAATGGTCAATAATGCTGCACATGAGAAAACAACAGATCTCAATGAGATCTCCTGATTAAATACAGGTTATATACAGGTTGAGTGAAAAATGTCAACTAGTATCAACACATACAAAAATCCCTCTGTAATCCTCTGCTTATGTCAGCTCCTTTGCAGTATGGTTATTGCTCAGTCTCATATCTGACAAATAAAAAGTAATCAACCAAGAAAAGAAAACAACCAATCAGAGCCAAGAAAGATAGAAAGACATTTTAGATTGGAGGCTTGAAGGTAGTTGATTGTTGAGTCTCGTTCATAGTGTCTGTATTTGATGACTTGTGAATGAGACTCAACAATCTTTCTTGGCTCTGATTGGTTGTTTTCTTTCAGGCCCGTTGGATTCTTGCTAATACCATTAGGAGCACTAGGAGGAGTCAGAGGAACCTGATTTTTTTCACAGATTATCTGTCTCATGTACTACTGTCAGGATATAGTGAAAGTTTCAGCAGATATGACAAAAAGTAATTTATTTATTTTTTTTAAGTTACTTGCTGCCGCTTTAAGGTAGCCGACTACACGGTTTTTACTATTCTATCACCATACACATATTTAGGGCCCAAGCATCAATTGAAGTAGTGCAAGAAATTATTTTTCTTGTTCCAAATGAACCAGAGGCTGTATTTTTGATGGGCTAAAGGTGCTCAGAAACACAGCAATTATGAAAGTTATTTTTATAAAAGTTAAATAAAAGTTACTGCAGGAACAGCAACTAACCATGTAAATATACAATGAACCATCAAGTGAAGAAAGAAACCTGGTTGACGAATAATGAGAAACAAATGCGAATAATCTTCACAAATGCACACAGACTGTCCACACTCCCTGACTGAATTCAGCACATGATTGACTGATTGGTTGTTCTTTGATTTCCTGTTTCAGGTATTGAGAGCTTTGAAGGCAGATATTTCCACAGCTGGGATTATCGCAGAGCTGAGGGTCTGCAGGGGAAAAGAGTAGTGGTGATTGGGACTGGGAACTCTGGAGGCGATATCGCTGTTGACATCAGTAGAGTTGCTGAGAAGGTACAAAACTAAACTACATTTCTGTACTTTTATGTCGTTTCATATTAAATAAATGTGACCATATATTAAAGCTGAGCATATGAATCTGCTAACCTAACCCGCAGGTGTACCTCAGCTCCAGAAGCGGAGCGTGGGTTGTTAGCCGTGTAGGACCGAGGGGGCTCCCAGCTGACCTTGTTGGGACTTCTCGAATTGATATGATGATACAGAAGTTCTTCCCCTCCTGGGTCAATAAGATGGTGGAGAAGAAGCTGAACCAGGCATTTGATCACAAACTATATGGAATACAACCAAAGCATAGGTAACAAGATGATCTTTACTGCACTGTGTGGCCAGTGTTTTAGTTAAATGATTGTTTTTAAATAAAAAGTTTGGATTCCACAAGAACCTCAGACTGCAATGTTCATGACACCCCACAATATGAAAGTATTGGCAGAACGTACAATATACTGATGATTTTGAGATTTATCCAAGAGGGGTCATAATGTATAGTTTATAGCTGTGTGGACAGTGGTCTCTAACCAGTTTTGGGGATATCTACCTGATGACTGTATGTTTCCGTGGCTCTGAAACACTCCTCATATAGCTCCTTCACACAGCTCTTCTGTCTTTTTGACAGTTATTTTACACAGATCCCTGTTGTGAATGACGACCTGCCAGCTCGGATCATCTCAGGTCGTATTCTGGTGAAACCGAATGTGAAGGAGTTCTGTGGCTCCACAGTGGTCTTTGTTGACGGGTCCGTTATAGACAAGGTGTGTATTATTACAATTGTTAACTGTGCATCAACACATAACGTTACTGTATTTGTCATATAATGTAAAATAAATATTGATATATATATTTTTGCTTGTCGAGTAAGCCTCGGTCAACTTTGTCCTCTCCTGTATTTAGATATGCTATGTGCTAGGATAATCTATGTTGAAAAGACAACCACATGCTGAAGCTAACTAGCTAACTAATAATTGATGTAAATTACCTAGCTAGCATTTTGCTAATATTACATTCAGATGTAACTAGCTAGCTAACATTTGCTGTAGATGAGGTAGCTTTTTGAAGATTATTGACAGTATATAATTAGATTATATAATATATATATATATGTCGCTTCAAAATGTGGTTGTCTTTTTAACAGAGACGAGGCTAGCACATAGCATATCTGAGAAAAGAGGTTCTGACCAAGGCTGGCTTAATTGTTATTGGAGCACGGAGAAAAGAAGGGTGGGACTTAGGTTAAAACTTCATTATCAGGTTATAATAGTGATTAAATGTTAATGCTATTCTAAGATTTAAGTTTTGTGTGTGTGTGTGTGTGTGTGTGTGTGTGTCATACAGGTGGATGTAGTGGTGTTTTCCACAGGGTACAACTACAGCTTCCCCTTCCTGCCCTCAGCTCTGCAGGAAAAGTGTGGTCACAGGCTGCGTCTCTACAAGCATGTGTTCCCTCCTGCACTGACCCACCCTACGCTGGCAGTGGTGGGCTTCATCCACGGCTATGGGGCCATTAACCCTCTGGCTGAGATGCAGGGCCGCTGGGCTACAAGAGTGTTTAAAGGTAAACTAACTATGACAGTTGGAAAATACCTTATCTTGATGGTGAAAGCATTTATCAAAACACAGGATCGATTGTACTTGAATGAATTTACACTGAGGTCCATATTAAAAACTGAAGTGTGGATGGTAAAGACCCTTTAGTACATGTTCTGCAATAGACCCTCATGATATAAAGTAATTATATTATGAACTGAAGAGAGGGTCAATTTATATTTCTTATATTACTTTTAAGCAGTTCAAAATATCAAATGGTTTCTCATAAAATCAGTAAGAGTCATGAAGTATCAAGCTGATAACACAATGTGAAGTACCTTTTTTGAGCTGTTAAAGGGAAACAGAACATGGACGTTAAAATAACTGCTTTTACGTTGACATGTTGTTTTTCATGCAGGCTTAACAAAACTCCCCTCAGAAGAGACAATGATGAAGGAAATGGAGAAAGACACAGTAACCATGCATCAGAGGTAAGAAATTCAAGATCCATATTAAGCTGTTGTGATGATCACCAGTAATCCCCTCCACTGCTGTGAATGCAGGCCATCCATTAATTGATCAATCAATATCTATCAGACATCTGTGAAAACAGCTATTGTTTTGTTTTTATAATATATTTTTTGTTTCTCTCTGTTAGGTTTGCCTGCTCAGATCGCAACCCACTCCAGGTGGACTACTTACCTTACCTGGACTTTTTGGCAGAGCAGGTGGGGGTTCGACCAAACATGCTGTGGCTCTTGCTGAAGGACCCCAGACTGGCACTGCATGTTTTGTTGGGTCCCTGCACTCCTTACCAGTACCGTCTGACTGGGCCGGGCCAGTGGGCTGGAGCCCGACAGGCCATTCTCACTCAGTGGGATCGAGTGCATCGGCCCTTCAGGACAAGAGTAGTACCAGAACCAGAGACCAGACCTCCTTCTAGACGAAGAATCACTGTGATGTTGTCAGGTGCAGCGCTACTGTTCTGCTTTTTCTACAATAAATGCAGCCCCTCCTTCCTTCCTCTGCCATTCTTTAATCCTAAACTGGTTCAGTGATTATCCAATCTTTTAATGAGGAAGAATCACTTGCCTTTGCTCAGACCTGCTTAGACATTATGATCAGATAGCAAATAGCTTGCTCACTAGCTTCATGTCTATACAGATATAAAAACATGTATCCAGCGTTTTCTAAATAAGAGGAACACCTCAGCCTAGCTTGGTTCCCTCTTTAGAAAATGCTCCTGAGGTGGTGAATCTGGGAGAGGCCACAAACTCCTGAAACAATGTCAAGAACCTGGAAAACAGCACCATCCTGTGGCCTCTTTGTGTTGCTACAACTCTAAAGCTTATGATCAGTTTTATGTAAGCTACAGTAAAATTCAGAATCCAGATGTTTATGCCACTATGTCAAAATGAGTCTTTGCATCTGTTTTTTTTTTTTTTTTGTTCTGTTTTTATCCTTTGTATGACACTGAATTTATCCATGGTGCTATAAAATAAATGTAATTTTATTTGGTGTTTCTATGTGTTTGTCAAACTTTCTTTGTTGTCAACCTCAAAATAGCAGTAAAGAGATATTAAAAATAATATATATTTGTCTAAATATAATAGCCAGAATTTGAATAAGGTTAGTAGGCTGACTGAAAGATTGTATGGTTGCCATGTTTTGTCTCCACGTGCGTAATTCAGAAATCATCATCATTTGAACAGAAACAAACTCACTCAAGAAAACACTGAATGCTTTTCAAAGGTTACACTGGATCATGAAAAAGACAACCTCCATCCACAACCTTTTTTGACTCTGACAAGAACTGATGATCCACTAACAAGAACCAAAGCTGTTTCAGCATGGAAGATGTGAGATTAGTTTCAAATACAGTTTGTTTTTCTGTGTATTTCACTGTTGAGATGTTCAGAAGCCTCAAGACTCAGTGATTCAATTGACATTACACTTTTTTAAATAATATTTGCAGCATTGTGTAAGGTTTACACCGGCTCTAAACGAGAACAAATCATATATTTAAAGAATAATTCATAAAATATAGGAATAATAAACTGGAGAATAAGCCTGAAACCAGTCAGGCCTGCATGTATGATAGAGTTCTATCTCCATTTTTTTTTTAAAAATCCAATCATTTTAGACGACATATACTCACATATTTGTTAAATATTTTACAGAAATTACAAAATTATTTTTCTCATCCGAACAATTCTGACTAACCAATCATTAATGGACCATTTAATGGCATCAAAAGTGAAATTGCAGATTGCAGCTAACTGAAAACCACTCATGTCTATATGTAGGAAAAACTATGGTGACCGCGAAAATTAGATAAAAACAGCTCAATCTACGGTAATGAAAACAATGATTCTTATACTCAGGTGATTATACACTTATGAACCTACATACCTTTGAATATTATATTCAATTTCTGGCAATAGATCCTCCGAAATGTTACACACTGGACCTTTAATAAGCACCATAAGATTTGTATAGACTGCTTACAACATTCTTTTATTTTACGTTATGAGTGTGGACTGGTAGCTGGAGAGGTGCCACTTTCACCTCCTGTTCACTGCCGAGGTGTCCTTGAGCAAGGCAACCAAACCCCAAAACCTGCTCATGGGGCGCCGGTAACGTTGCAGCCCCATCACTCCACCATCTCTCTCCCCTTTGCATGTCCACAAGTGCATGAAGTGTGCATTTCAGCCTGTGTGTGTGTGTGTGTGTGTGTGTGTGTGTGTGTGTGTGTGTGTGTGTGTGTGTGTGTGTGTGTGTGTGTGTGTGTGTGTGTGTGTGTGTGTGTGTGTGTGTGTGTGTGTGTGTGTGTGTGTGTGTAAAAAAAAGAGTGAAAAGAACAATTTCCCCTAGGGGATCAATAAAGTATATCTTATCATTTTTTCAACAAAAGATAACATTAAAATAAACTTAAACAAATTAAAGTCTATTTTTCCACTTAAAGCTGGAGTTGTATAAAGTTAGATTCTGGCTGAATAGCTGCAGAAATAACACTGAAATGAAAAATGCTGTTACCAATGAGCAACAATGAAATGATCAGTAAATGGTTGGAAAAACAGCCTGACTAACAAAGGATTCTGTCAAGAGGTAAGATGGCTCTATTGATACTGTATGACAGATACTGTAGATGAGAATGTGGCACTGCTGGCTGAAGAAACAGCACCAAAAGACGCATATTGGACCGATCTGTATGTCATTTCAGGCTGACATCTGCTGTTAACAATAAGATCTCTGAGCACACATCTAAATGTCAGGCTTGTATTTGTCCAGTTCACCTTAGCAATGTTTGTTTCAGTTCAGAGTACAAAGAGCTGGAGCACTGGTACCTGAACTAAAAACACGTCATTAAAAGATGCTGGGGACGAGTTGACCGAACAATCGGGGCAGAGCCTCTGAGACAGAAACCACAAGGATTAATGGCACGATCAAACTCTGTAAAAGGAGTGCCTAAAATTCAAGTCAGCGTAAGAAAAATAGGATCTTAAGATTTGAATTAAGGCATTTTTGCTTTAATGGTTTTGTGTTGGGAATGGATTGAATATTGGATTTGTTATGGAACTTAATGAAGGAAGTGAAGGAAACCCAGAGCTAAAATTATACACAGATGCCATGTGAACAGGAGGTTGTTCAGTCTCTTTTAAAGCTGTAAGGCAAGTGGACATTTTTCAGTAAGCTCTAAATAAGAAAATGTAGGGTTGGTTAACAATCAATGAAAAGAGTGTAGTAGACTATTTTTAGTTTTTGTAAAACTTGTAGAGTATACCATGAGACATATTTTACTAGACTATTATCATTTTTATAGAAATAAATAAAAATGCATTAAAAATTCAATGTATCATTTGTGTCTTGTAAGAATGTGTTGGCTACATAACATTCATTTTAAAGGAATCTAATCTCTGATCGATCAATGAATTATCATTTGCAACATCGCTATTCTTTTTTTTTTTTAAGACTTATGGCAACATCTACGTTGTACATGGCGGAAGAGGGCAGTATATTTCAGACCAATCAGCGAGCCAAGATCACGCCCCTCCTGCTGTGTGGGCTTATCTGATTGGCGGTTAGCTTTTCCTCTCTTCTCTAATTGGCCAATATCTTGTCAATGAGCCCAGGAAGGTGGAAGCCGGGTACCTGTCAGCCTGAACCTCTTTCTGCTCTCAGTTACCCGGGGACAGGACGTAATTCCGCCTCCTCATCTCGTCGCTGGCTGTTTCGTGGACCTACGGTAGGAATAATGACACTGTGCTCCGTGCAGAACGAGTAAAACGACAGGAAGTGTAGCTAATGTCGTCGACTGTTATCTCTTTTCACATCTGCTCATTGTCCTGCTACAGCGGTTAGCCGCACTCAGGCTAGAGACCACTGAACAGTCAGGTAAAGCTAGAAGGACTTCTTTTTGCGTCAGAGTATACAGGGTTCAACCCAACGTCACTTCTGGAGGCTTTATTAAAAGTCTTCGTACGGCAGAGATGGTCAGTCAGGCCTATAATCTTAGCAGCCTCCTTCCTGTTTACCTGTTTACCTGTTGTCACTGTCTTTATTGGCAGATCCGATCTGTAACGTTATACGCTTTATTAACGGTTGACATTCCTACTGTGCCTGCTGACAGCCTGCTGACAGCCTGCTGACAGCCTGCTGACAGACTGCTGACAGCCTGCTGACAGACTGCCTCTGGTTGTCTCCTCCCCATCATTTCATGAACAGTCCTTATTTGAACTTATGTAACTTTTTGCGGACGTCCTCTAATTTTACGGGGGAAAAAAAAGATAGAACTTCCTCACAACTTGTCTGTCTTTAAAACTGCAGTGGAAACGTGTCAAGGCTTTTGCTGTTGGGTCCACTGACACACTCACACTTAAGGTGATCATGGAGTTCTTTAGGTTGTGCAAGTAAATGCTGAGTCACTGGACAGGCTGCTCCTAGTTAATGTTATGAATGAGTTCATTCATTGGGCAGACTGTGGAGAGGAACCTTTCTGTCTGTGCTATCAGTGTCACTCACTTGAATGTTCAGTTGAGAGCAGGGTTACAAATGATTTTGACACGGTTGATTATGCTGCTCCTTTTTGGTTAGTCACCTAAGATTGTATTGCAGAAACAAGAGTGGAAAAATCTCCTGAAACCAAAAGTGCTAGAATGTAGGACTAAAAGCAGATACATAAAACAAAGCAGCCGCTCTTCACCAGAAAATATGTTATTTTAGCTTGATAAAATACCACTGCCACTGTCTCTGACATGCTCTCTCTTTACCCCCCCCCAGGCTCTAAGATGTCTCAGAAGATCAAGGCGGGCTCTGTGGTGGAGATGCAGGGAGATGAAATGACTCGAGTCATCTGGGAGCTCATTAAGGAGAAACTCATCTTCCCATACCTGGAGCTCGACCTGCACAGGTGAAGACACACCTTAATATGAAGACCACAGGGAGTGGAGGGCACTGTAGATCCACTGTGTCTCCGCTATACCTGGGTCTTTGAAATGTCTGTTGTTGGCTTTATAAAAGCACCTATGCAGATTATAAGTGTATATGAGTTTCTGCAGTGGTGGGATTTCTAGTTTAGCTGGTTTATCCTGCCCCTGCCCCCCCTCCTTGCTCAGGATTGTTATCCAAATGGGTGGATTCCACCCTGAGCCATGTCCCTGGGTTTCCTCAAAAGAGTGTGTCTCACCTACAAAGCGGCAGGTACAGTATGTAATTGCACAATGTTGTGATCCCACCCACATCAGAACAGTTTTAAAGAATTGGAGCAGTGTGATAATAGTAAGTTATTTATACAACTTAATATTATTATTAGAACTGGAGATGATGCTGTCATGAGAAGTAGTTAAGTATGAGACATTTCTTATTAAGTATTCTTCCACATATTACACTATTGTTTTATTGTGATCTAATGTTCAAGTAATCTCACCTTTCTCCTGATAAGAGAATAAAAAGTAACTGCAGCACATGTAGTTCTGACTAGGGATGCAACAAATGAGGGTTTCAGGGCCTGATACTGATCACTGATTGGTTGGTCTTCTGAAACATTTTTACAGAGAAATCCCCCAAATCACAGAGGAACTTTTTGCCATACTTATTTACAATCTTTTTGTCTGATAGGTGACATTTTCTCGTGAATATTCACTGGCCATTTACAATCAGCAAGCCAAACAACGGGAGCATCCGTTTCTTCATTTGACCTTACTCCTCCTCTTATCTGCTGCATGGACTTTGTTCGGGGTTGTATGATATTTGCGTGACCTTTTTATGTGAAATCTGTCCCTAATGTTCTAACTTCAGTTTTTTTTCCAGAAAGATATAGTTGAAGTTTTACAGTATTTTCATCATCCCTTCTTGTTTGGCATTGTAAAAGTTAATGATTTATTGAGCAACAGGCAATGGAGGTGCAAGTTTGATCCAATATGGTGTAATAATTATTACTGTCATAGATCAGGCCACTGGGAAAGACAAACTATAAAACAGACCCCTTTGTCAAACATATAAATCTCATTTTAAACTGTAGAAACAGCTTTTGGTATGTCGTGTGTATTCCCTGAAGGGCACAGATTAAAGATTGTTGGGGTTTACTGACTTGAACAGACACACAGCGTTCCAGTTGGACACATAGGAAGAGACCAGGCCAATGTTCTTGTTTGTTTTAAAGCTCTCTCTTTCCTCTGTATGAGTTGTTGAGCGTCTTATTGTTGTGGCTCAGTATTGGCTATCGGGGGAAGGGAAGGAAGAAAGTGGGTAAAAGGTCATGGCAGCTTTGAAACAACGCCAATCGGTGCACAAGAAAGCACACAGGCTAATACTCCGAGGGAATGAAAAGCACACTGAGCTTAGTTCTCAGATGAAGTATGCTTCCTTCTCTCAATAGTCTAAGTTGTGAGGTTCCTGAAGCACAAGTGAAGCGACCTTTGCAGTCATCCTGGCAGAGGGCCAGTCGTCATTGCACAATTGATTCCTTGTTTCCTTTTGTCTTTGTGCTGCTGGCTGGTTTTGCAGATTCCTCACTGAGGCGAGTAACAGGCACAAAAAGAAGAGAGAGAGCATAGTTGCAGCACTGTGAAGGAAGTGGGGAAGGAGGTTAATGTCTGTTCTTGATGTTAACATTCTGTCAGGTCTTGCATAAAATATAATTAGTAGAGTTATGGAGCGAATGGCAGGAATTTAAGTCGATCCTCAAGCTGGAAGCAAGCTCACAACCCTCCTTCGCTGCTCATTAATGTCGTTCATTTTGTTTGACACTGATTATGTTTCACATCACAGCCATTGTACTTTCACAGATTATGCTTCTAGCCAACTAAAACATGTTCACTCTTAGTGCTTTGGTAGGTTGTGCTCCAGGGCTTCTGTGCAATGGTGCGTAAATGATCACTGCTCTTCTTGAAACCGAGTGCTTTAGTTTATGGTGTCCCATGCCTCTGCTGTTCAGGTTATAAATGTTTGGTCCATTTCTTATCCATTACAGTTGCATTGAAATATAATCCAAATCACAATACGGCCAAGAGTAACATGCAAATGACAGGAACTGCAATTTTTGCTAAAGGTAAAACATGTGTCAAACAGCATTATAATGAAGTGCTGCAGTGTAGCTGTAGTGCTTTTTTTCCAACCATATCGTGCAGTCCAAATCTGTCTTTACTCTCATACTCATGCTACACGCACACAAATATGCGTATGAATCTGTCTGACTGAAATATGTTTGTAGCATTTAATATCATAAAGTATCAAGTAATGGGAGCTGCCATTGAATATGAGGCATTCTTTGGCTTGTTTATTTGGTCTTATTTCCAGATTGAAATCATTTAACTTGTATTTTACTTCGGCCTAGTTATTTATTAAAAAGTGATACATGCTGCAGTCTGGTATATTTTGTTAAACAAAAGAAAAGGATTAAGAAATGTTAATATTGCTCAAACTAAGTATTGAAAAAGTACTGTTTTGGTATATGTCTGTAGGAAAAAGCACAAATTGTATTGGCACGGATAAAGAAAATTTCAAAACATTTCCAGAGCATTATGGATGCGTGTTAGGGCTGTACCGTATGGTTAAAAAAAAAAATCATATTGGGGATTAATTTGACACAATCGCAATATGATACATTTTTACATTACAGTTTTTATTTTCACTGAAAATCAAACTTATGATGATGTAACATTTGTTGAGGTCTGTACCACGGATTTGTAAACCAGGGCTTTTTTGCAGCACTACAGTACTTCATTATAATGCTGTTACATTTTACCTTTATCAAAACATTGCAGCTTCTGTGATTTGCATATTGCACTTTTTGCAATTTCGATAATAATTCCACTAATTGTGCAGCCCTAATGCATTATGTATTAGCTTTCTCTATGCTTCTGTTCATTTAAAACTCTATTCTCTTTGTCACTTCCTGCAAAGCTATGACCTCGGTATGGAGAACAGAGATGCGACAGACGACCGGGTGACGGTTGACGCGGCGGAGGCAGTCCAGCGGTACAACGTGGGCATTAAGTGTGCCACCATCACACCGGATGAGAATCGCGTGGAGGAATTCAAGCTTAAGCAGATGTGGCGCTCACCCAATGGCACCATCCGTAACATCCTCGGAGGCACAGTGTTCAGGGAGGCCATCCTCTGCAAGAACATCCCCCGTCTGGTGCCTGGCTGGATCAAGCCCATCATCATCGGCAGGCACGCCCATGGAGATCAGGTACCCTGTTCGTTCACGAGGAGCCAGTTGGCAGAAAATGCTGAACTGAAAATGCAGGACTACAGTTAACAGGAGAAACTCTAACTGTGTAGCAATATACTGTATGTGCATAGAAAATGATACCTGCTTCTTTATTGTCTGACAAAGGTGCTGCTGTTACTGAAGCATCATTTCCAGCAAACTCTGTGACAAGCTAACTGCTGGCTTCATGTCAACTCATGTATGAGCTCAATAAGTTACAGTTATATCAGACATTGTATGGCTATCAGGAGAGACTTGGTCAATAAGTATATTTCCTCAGCTGTCCTTTGGACCATAATGCACTACAGCCTAAATAAGTTGCAGCAATGTCACAGATCTCAATTGTAGGTTAGCTCTAGGCGCTGTGCCAAAGCCAACACTTCTAATCCAGGTGAAGTGTCAAATGGCTGCGAGTTACATAATATTCCATGTATACCAGAGGTAGGCATGTTACACACTGTGCTGACATACTGTAACAGTGCAGGTGATGACCGCATAGTCCTGCAGAGGTGTTTCAGTCTGTCCTGGTCATTGTTGTTTGAACTATGATCTGACACCATTTTACAGGACAGGGTTAATACCTTTCTAAAGCTGTCTCTTGTTGTTTTATTAACCATTGGTCTTTCTCAATGTGCTCCCCACAGTACAAAGCCACTGACTTTGTGGTGCCTGGACCTGGGAAAGTGGAGATGACCTACACGCCCACAAAAGGAGAGCCAGTTAAATTTGTCATCCATGAGTTTGAGGGTAAGAACACAGCCAGTCCGATGTACGAGTATGCCTCCAACCCCCCACATGTAAAATGGGTCGGACAAGAGACCTAAAAATTGACCAATTAAGTTTATGCTGAAAAGACATTTGGTTAAACAAAATGGTTAAAAGACAAACGTAACATATTGTCACACCTTAAGCTAGCTAATGTTAGCCAAACATAAGATGTAACTATATATGTTTATGTTTTCGTCTTTTACAAATAAAATACAACTGCACAGAGGCATTACTCTGGCAGGAATGTTTTATCAGCTTGTTTAATGCTGTCTTCACTACGAATATGCAAATGTTGTTCATTTCTAAAGTTTTCCTGCTGGACACAAGAAGTCCATTCTTGGTGTATGTGCACTGGTGGCTTCAAGAGACTCTACATATTATATCAAGCTACAAAAGAGCCCTAAGAGCTGGCAGTTAAAATGGAAGTACAGAGGGTATTTGTTAAGGAGACAATGAACTGTGTCGTCTAGCTGTGTTAGTGTGAACTGGTTTTCAGAATATTGCAGACCGGCACATGGCAAGTAGTTGTGAGTGTCAATTTGTGTCGTTACAAATACATAATGTAATGTAATGTGTTTGAGTCAATATAACTACGCTGGACTGGCACAAGGGGAAAAGCTTTTACAAGCACACTTTCCACTGTGTTCACATTGCCAATGGGAAAATATAAGATATGGCGTATCTATTTGTTTCAGTTCTGTTGTAACTATTCACACATATATATCACTCAAACCCAAACACTGAGCTTACTGCAATAGATTACAACAGGCAGTAATGACTACTAACAAAAGTGATTTCTTTTCAAGACCTTTCTCAGTGTTTGTCTGAAATAAACATTGTAATATTTGTTATTTGGTCATACTACTGAGACGTTCAAAAGACAAATACGGTCACCGGTGGAAAGTCTTACCAAATTGGTTCAAAAGTGAACTTTTTTTTTTTTTATCAGACCATTTGAAGACATATATTGAACGTTCACATTTAGACCACATTTCACTGGGATGTTTTTCATCCTCTACAGTGTGTAAAAAATAGCCTGTCTTCCTTTTGGGGCCTAAAACCTAAATCCAGAATTCTCCGTTGAAAGCCGGTATAAATATAAAAACTAACCCACTCCTCCACCACATCTTCCTGCCAATCTAAGGACTTCTTATGCATTGTAACTCAACTAACTTGTGTACAGCAGTAAGCACAATATCTTATTTTACATGAATGTACAGATCTTTTCCCATTATGATGTCCTGGAAGCTTCTTGTTGGCAGCACACAGCCAATATAGTTCCATATTTAAGACAGTTTATATGAAATATTAAATACATTCAAATGACGTCTAATCAGTATTGTTTCTCTGGGAACCTATAATTGAACAGATGATCTAAATAATTTTACAGATTTGTGTATTGTGGCACATTGATGTTGTAACTGCAATTTAGCTGGTTGAAAAGAGAATGTACTATACTTCAGGTCTGTATTTGTGTCTGTATGTCTGTCCAGGCACTGGCGGTGTAGCCATGGGGATGTACAATACAGATAAGTCCATCAAGGACTTTGCTCACAGCTCCTTCCAGATGGGCTTGGCCAAAGTCTGGCCTCTCTACCTCAGCACCAAGAACACCATCCTGAAGAAGTACGACGGTCGCTTCAAAGACATCTTCCAGGAGATCTACGAGAAGTAAGGACTTTAAACTCCACAGAAACACGTGCAAAGTAGCTCTCACTCTGTCTCGCTCTCTTTTACAACTGCCAACACACACACTTTTAGACCAGATGTAGATCACGACTTAGAGGTGTTGTCCCCATCCTTGTGTGTCCAGGGAGTACCGTGCTCAGTATGAGGCCAAAGGCATCTGGTATGAGCACCGTCTGATAGATGACATGGTGGCCCAGGCCATGAAATCTGAGGGAGGCTTCATTTGGGCCTGCAAGAACTACGATGGAGATGTACAGTCTGACTCTGTGGCTCAAGGTTGGTAGAGACAACTGTACCATCATGTGAAGAGCTATATGTAGAAACATTCCTTATAATCTGACCCCTGCAAAACTGCCATATAATATAAACTGTCATAATATAGATTGCTAATTTTGCTCTCTCAGGTTCAAACACTTTCTGTTCACCCTGTTTCAGGCTACGGCTCCCTGGGTATGATGACCAGTGTGCTGATCTGTCCCGATGGACGCACAGTGGAGTCTGAGGCTGCCCATGGCACAGTGACGCGCCACTACAGACAGCACCAGCAGGGAAAAGAGACCTCCACCAACCCCATAGGTAAAACACGATGCATAGACATTTAGCAACCCAACATGACCCCAAAAAAAACCATAATAATATGACGTGTAATATACTGTATATGAATTAATGAACTAAATTGTGTCCTTCCACTGGGCGTTTGTGTGCTACAGCCTCCATCTTTGCATGGACGCGAGGCCTGCTGCACCGTGCGAAGCTGGACAACAACACAGAGCTGCGGGTGTTCTCTGAGGCACTGGAGGCCGTCTGCATTGAGACCATCGAGGCTGGATTCATGACCAAGGATCTGGCTATCTGCATCAAAGGCCTGACAAAGTTAGTATCTCCGTTATCTAACACTCACTGCATGTTTCTGCGTCAGGTGCTACAGTGTTCCTGTTGTAGACGAGTACGGCATGAGTATTGATGAATTGCTGAGTGTAGGATTTAACTTCACTGTACCACTATCTTAGTCACATCTCAGTCAGTCACAATCAGTTCTTCTCACTTAAATGCTGAAAGAGGTGTTTGTGATAACGGTAGCTTCTCCTCTTCCGCACTACATGCTCTCAATGTCCAGTCTTATTGTTTTTTATACTTTTCATCCAGGCCTAGCTGGCAGCATTCTCAGATACTGTTGTATGAAGTGGAAACCCGACAGTCACCCATTCCAAAGTCAATTTTAAGTATACTCAACCTTTTCTCCTCTCTTCCTGTTTGCAGTGTGACACGTGCCGACTATTTGAATACCTTTGAATTCCTCGACAAGCTGGGAGAGAACCTGAAGATTAAGCTAGCCAGCCCACCCAAACTGTGAACCCCCCCCCCGCAGCCTCAGCAGTTAAACACAGACACACACACATTCAAACACATGCTCATGCACAGAAACAGCTATACAGATACTGGAATTACCACTGGAGCAGGGGGGAGTAAGCCCACGACCCAAGGAGATCCACTACTGAAACCAAGTCATTCCCTGACCGGGGGGGTCTGATCACGCTGGGTGCCTTGTCTGGAAGAAAGGAAAATGGAGGATTCTGATCAGTGTGGGACATCAGCCCCGTTAATGCATCACTAGCAGGCAGCCATAAACTGTCTCCAGGTCTGACACTGGGCCAACGACCTGACTGCTCAGTGACCTTGTTTACCTTAATTGCACTAGGTCCCCTGAAGTGAGTGTGGTGTGTGTTTTCAGTATTTGTTGGTGATCTGTGCTAGCCAGGGGACACAATCTGTCTGAGGGACCCTCACTGCCTTATTCGTTTTGTGTCAAAGTCATCGGTCGATTCTGGTCATCTCCTTGTAATGTTTAAACAATACCTCCAGCAACGTTGTCTGTTTTAGAGCCACAGTGTCAGTTTAAAACCACAGCACCTGCTCCCACTCATGAAATCTCCCAGCAAGTTTTATTGTCGAGCAGCACAAAACACATGACATATGGACTATAGCATCCAAACAATGGTTCTGACTCTTCTTACACATATTGTAAACAAATCTAATCAGGACTACAATACATAGCTTTTAGATTTTCTGATTAACTCCACTAGTCACAGATGTGTCTTTATATGTCTTTCCTTTGTACGTGTGTGTATTAACATCCAGTGTTGGCTTATCATGTCCTGCCAAAAATTTGTATTAAATAGTCAGTCTCTTGGTTTGTAATCAGCATTAAGTCCTAATATGATAACTCATAATAAATGAGTTTTTGAAGAAACATGGGTGTTGTTATTTGAGTGGAGCTGGATTCATTTTATCCCCTTCAGTTTTAATAATACAGCTGAAATAAAAATCTGTGGTTATCATAAAGTGTGTGCTCATGGGCTGGAGATAACTCTCAATTAATGGATTATTTGTTTCTATATTGTGTCCGACTGTAGAAAGAATCAGTCACATAAAATGGTTACTGATTTTACAGAAGCAAATGAGTATACAGGCAGTAACAACGACTCTCAGCACTTCCTGTATTTTTTCCTATCTTGTGCTAGCTTACAGCCCCACCCTGCTGTAGAATAAAACTACTGAACACTCTATATAATGTCTGAAAATTGCTCAAGGTGATGTCCAAATGTCTTACAGGGTTCAAGGGTCAGAGTTTAATGCACATCCTCTAATGCAGGTGTCTCAAACACAAATTGTATGGGGGCCACTGCAACGTTCAAGTACTACAAGAAAGCATTATATTTCTGAAAATATTTCTATTACGGAAAAGCAGTTTAATTTGTATATGCATTAGTTTTAGCACAACTGATCATAAAATGTCACTTGATAACTCGCTAATCCGTTCTGCCACTGAGCTTGCTGAAAACTGCTCTGCCTTTCTTTCTCTGGAGACTAACTCACTCACCACATAATCAACAAGCTGAAACCTGCTCTCCTCTTATCAACCCTTTGCATGCATTTGGAGGCTTATATGACCTTTGCCATTCATTTAAATATGAATATATAATAACAAATGTTACTTATTTTGTGATAAAATTGTTGTTTTTTGCCTATATTATATTTTTAACATCATGTTGTGGGCCATATGAAAGAGGTTGGAGGGCCAGAAATAGCCCTCGGGCCAGTTATTTGAGACCTTTGCTCCACCACCATCCAACTAAACTCCTGTTTGCAGGATAAGTTCATAAACTTTGTTGTCTTTTTAATGTAATTTACTCATGAAGACCCGATTTGTACTGAACATGTGCAACTCTCCTCAGAGCAGAGAAGGAAGCGGGAAGGGTTACTTCTTGTTGAGCCTGATTAACAGTCCAAAAATATTCAATTTATAGACAAACAGAAAAGCTACACATCCTCACATTTAAGAGGTTGGAAACAGCTAATTCTTTGCATTTGTGCTTAAACGTATGATTATCAAAATAGTTACTCACTTGACTAATCAATTAATTGACTAATTCAGCTGGAGTGTGGAATTATACATTACATTATGTTTATTGTATGTTACCATATTATCGGATGTTTTAGATGGAAACGACATAAAACAGGACAGGAACCTGCCACTGATCCTACTGTTCAATAGATATTACATATAGATAAATAACACAAGACAATAATATCTTCTATCACGATCCATTTAATGTATGTTTTGATCAAAAGGAAATGAACTTTACACTGAGTATTATGCACTACAGTAGGCTTAAGGTTGAGGTCTTATGTACAGACCTATGTTAGTGCTTCTTGGCCTTTTTGGTGTCAAGGAACCCCAAATTGATGCACACCAGGCTGCTGACCCAGATTTGTTGTATTCTCTGGGATCCCGTCTGATCAAATGTAGTTATTCCATAACTGTCAGTACTGCAGATTGGCAGATGAAGAGTATGAATGACAGTCATTCTTATACAGTCTGTCACTGGGCTAACTTCTAGTCAATTATATAATTATGAAATTACAATATTCCACATTTGTCTGGGGACCCCTGGAACTGGCTCAATGACCCCTAGAGGTCCACAGACCCTGTGGTTGAGAAACAATGGCCTAAGTAGTAATACAGGGATATGACATATACAGGACAATAATCAATCAATCTATCAAACTTTATTTGTATGGTACCTTTCATACAGTTTAGTGCAATTCAAAGTGCTTCACAGATGACTGATAAGACCCAATGGAATATAAATGAAATACATTTAGAAATACAATACAATGATAAAAAATACAATTAAACACAATAATAGCCATAATGATAGTATTTAATAAAAGCTATAATAAAAACTAAATAAAATAAATTAAGAAAGGCAGAAATAACCATAAGAAAGATACATCTATATCTAACCCGAATCAAACCCCCTTTTATTGGCCAGGTACATGCACACATACACGGAAACTGACTCTGATATTACTTTTCAATACACACAAAAAGCATAAATAAACAATAGCTCAACAAAATAAACTACCACGAGGTCCGGGCTGCACACCTCCACTGTGAGGTGTGATCATGTTGTGACTTGGTGTGTTTTTTATGTTTTTCTCATTGATCCCTTAATAATTCATTGGGATTATACTGTAGATATCAAGAGTTAGGGTTGTATCTATTGGTACTTAGGTGTTCCAGCAGCACAAGAACATAATTCGCATAGTTAGAACCAAAAATAAAATGTATGGTGGTTAAGAATAAAAATACAGAATAATACAACAGAAAAACAAATTGAAAAAAAATATAGAAAAAGAGCAGTGCAATAAAGTCGAAGTTAAATGATAATGAAAAGGCAGCGAAGTACTGTATATACTGTATAGCACACAATAAAATTTATAGGCCTATGACATCTTATGAGATGTTGGCTTATGAATATGAGTAATAACTTAAAAGGAAATGTGTGCACTGACCAATGTTATTCCTGCCCTACATTGTTTTCATTGATCAACTATTTGACCTCCTCTTTTCAGGATCCTCAGCTTTATAGTAGACTACAAAGACAATTGAGCCCTGAGTCATATCACCGTTTGTTTTTCATGACTGAGTTGTAAAGTTAGGCAGTGCAGTGTATATTAGTCTACATATGGCAATCATTAATGAGAAGTGTTTTAAAAAAGACAAAGGCCAATGCTTCAATTGTCCAAATCAAAAGCTTTATTTTTTTCTTTGAATTAATACAGTTTATGGATGTCTGTTTGGACAGAATAAATCAAAATGCCCAGGTTGGGGCTCATGTGCAACATTAAAGGAAAACACAGAACAAAAATGACAAACAAAACAAAAGTTTACTATATAAATAAAAACGATACATACTATAGACAAGTAATTGATAGATTTTACGTCATATTGTTTACTAATTAATGCATATGTAAGGAAAGCGATTCAACCGGAAGTGCATTCGCGATTTTATTTTGAAATGTATCCCGTGCATTTCCTGTCCTGACAGTGGAGGTCTGCAGCCAGGTGCCTCTCCAAACTACAGTTATACATATACGTACAAACAATGTAGACAGTAAATACTGTCTAAAAACCATTCCTAGTGGAGGCTGGAGATATCTTTCAGCACTTTACTGAACACAGCTCTAACTTCATGTGCCGCCCTCTGCCTGTTATTCCAGCAGATGGCGCTATGGCATTAAAACCCTCCCACTGCTCTAAATTGGAGCTGACTGTTGTTTACTCACTATATAGTCCATGTGAAAGAAAACTGCACTAAGAATAGAACGACAAGACTGTACGGCCGGTCAGACAGACAGACAGGCAGACAGACAGACAGGCAGACAGCAGGAGCCGGTCAGTGATTATGGACCCTAACCACAACCAGAGAGACACTAGAAACCAGCTGAACAGGACCGGCTCTGACCCCCTCAGAGACAGCCACCCAGGGGTCCCAGCTACCGAGCAGACCGCTGACAATCCCCACCGAGATGCACCTGAAGGCGGGAGAGCTGCTGCGACAGACAGACAGCCACAGTAGTAAGTTCTGTTTCACTAAAATGAACATTACCTCCAGTCTGACACGATATTGTGACACAACTGAAGCACCACAGACATTCACTGTTACTTTTTAATGATACAAGAAATAGTTGTCTTCAGAGCTACATTTATTTACTGCTAATGTTTCGTTTATAAAGGCGGCTAGCGGCGGTGACTCCCTGCGGCTCCCTTTCGCTTTCATTTCCTCTGACTGGAGAGAGAAACGGTGCCTTCACTGTCTCTCGTAACTTCCAGTAACATCTGTGAATGGAACGTGTCCTCTGCTCAGTTTATTTTTAAAGTAAAACTGTAATCCTGTTAAATAATCAAAATGTAAATGTTCCTGTTAACTGTTACAGTTAACTAACAGTTAATCTAACACTAATCTTTTTTTCTGTAACTTTAATGGATTAGTTACCTTTTTTGTATCCTAACTACATAGCTCAGTTACATGTAATCCCTTACTCCCCAAGCCTGAATGTGATGCATGCTTATCCTACCAATTTCAATTTCTTTTGGTTAAATGTTTTAACAACTAAAGCCCTTGTGTTGGCTGTCCTGTGTCATTATCATAGGCTACACCATAAACAATAGGCTACTAGAAATGTACATTACTACAAGTACAGTACTAATGACTAAAATCCTATTATTGTTGATTTACACTACTTATAACACTGATGACAAACCACAGCAGCTAGAGCAACTTACTTTCAAAGATCTGTCTCACTTGATTGCAGCGTCATACTAGGATTATTATTACTGTAAGCAGCATTTTATTGTTGTAGCTGGACAAGGTTCAAAGAGTTCATTTTAACAGCTTTGCATACTGATGAGTACTTTTTCTTTATAGACTGATGATATGTTTAAACTAACTATGGCTGTTATATTAATTAAATATAATAAGAAATATAATGGAGTAAAAGTAAAATGTATGCCAACATAACATTTGTTTAATTAATGTAAAATGTGACAAACAGCATTGTAATGAAGTACTGTAGTGCTACAGACCCCAACAAATTTCACTTTATAGTCTAAAAAGAAGTTCATATCCTGTAGTTCTTACACAGCTGATGGCAAGAAATGCTGAGATGTAGAGAGTAAATATGGAGGATTTAATAACCTTTAACAACAACAAACAACAGTTCTGACTCTTTAAATGTTCATTTATTCTTTTTAGTAAAGTACATCAAAAGACTTCACATACATATTTTAGCTTTCATAGAACATAAAGCCTATCACACGTATTGTATGACAATTCAAAATAATAACTATTATCAACCAATAATTGATCTGCTGTAATTCAATAATCAGAATTATACACTATA